CTGAAACTAGAAGACGAAAATGGGTCATATTTGAGCAAGATCYGAAAATGTTTTTRTTMWAWRSGYAAAAGGCATCAAAAGGGAACCGCAAGGATACCTGACCAGATCGAAGGAATCAGAGGCTGATTCAGAGAAAGACTGTTCTCAGAGAGTGTACGCAGAGTCCTGATGAGTTGTATCGGGGTTTCGGGTTCGGAAAAGCTGAAGGGTCAGCTTGAATCGCGAAAGGGTTCGGAAAAGCTGAAGGGTCAGCTTGAATCGCGAAATCAGAAATCGCGAAACCTCAGACAGGTTGTGTATACCGGAGAAGAAAAGCAGAAGTGTCAGAGATGAGCGATTCAGAGGGGTTGAATCGACAAAAGAAATGATTCGAAGGAGAGATGAGAACAGAACCTGGTTTCGCCGAGAAGGAAGACGGCGGTTCGTGGGCGGAGCAGAACCGTCGGAGTCATGGTCAGCCGAGAAGGAGAACCGCCGTATTCCGCCGTTAGAGAGAAAGAGGAAGAACGAGCGATGCTAGGGTTCACGAGAAAGTCATTTTGTCTGCGGCTTGTCGATCTCAAAGTGGAGATTGTGGGAAATAGTGAGCTCAACAATGAAAAATGGGCTTATGGCCCAGCGAACAAAAGAAGAAGAGAGATTGGTATGGGCCTAACGGATTGGGTCTGGTCCAACAAAGAGAAATCTGTTACAAGTAGGAAAAGGAAGTAACTAGACCAAGCCTATATATTCAAGCATCTATTTTCTCTAAGTGTGTAGTTCTAATCAAAAACAGATAGATCTCTCTCTTGTAAACCCTAAGGTCTTATTCATCTTCTAGTGGAGTTTGGGAGGAGAGTCTCCCACGTGAAGTACCAGTAGTTAGCTGGGAACTCGTTACGTCTTAGTGTTCCTTACATTCCTGCAAACGTAATCACTAGATCGAATCAATAATAAGACAAACTCAATTGCTTCCATCAATAAGTTTACTCTACATAATTTGCAGGATTTGACATGGATTTGAAAAACTAACACTCTCATATATTTTTTGGTAAATTTTGAGATTGATCCAATTGTTGAAAATTCTTCATTTGATACAAAACATTTAACGCTAATAATCTGTATAATTTCTAACTTGCTTATTTTGCATTTTTTTATTTAAATTGCTCTAATTTTTAAAATGACTTTAAAGCTATATAAACACTAAACACACTCAATAAAGTATCAAAAATAAAATAATTTTTTATTTTTAGAGTTTAGTTGCATAGTTTGAGAGAGAAATAATGTACACAGTTAACTTATGGAAAAATCATTCTTAACTACATGAACTATAGAGCATCACATGGCTACACATATGGACAATAATAATGTATGTTTAGCTACATCAACAAATGTATAGTACATAACGACATACATGAACTATAAAAGATCATATAGCTACACATATGAAGTAAAACAATGTGCTTTTAGCTACACCAACAAAATTGTAATGCATAGAAAATTACACAAATAAAAAAACCATGTTAAAAACAATATTATTAGTTTGTCAAGATTTTTGTCTAGCCGCGATAGAAACCGTTTGGATAAAAATAAACTAAATAAATTTTAAACTTAATCCAAACCCAAATTTTCGAATCCGACTTAAATTTCAATACCCACATGAATCATACCAAAAAAACAAAATCCACATTCAAAACGAACATATTTGATAAATTAGTCTATTTTCATAAAAATTATCATAACTTTCGACCAAACTATTATAATGATCTCAAACCATTTTTAACCGAAAACTATCTCTATTCAGCCAGTATGTTAAAAAGCAAACAATATGAAGATGATTGGTTGAATTGATCACTGGAGACCAATTATTTAATAATTAATTTAACTGTATGAATATAATATTTAATTCTCTAACAAATATACATAGAGAAATTTCAAAAATGCCACTTTTCAAGTGCCACTTTACAAAAATACCATATTTTTGAAATTTTTACAAAAATGCTACTTTTTCAAAATTATTTTTTTATATTATTTATGTTTGGGTTAATTATGTTTTATTAGGGTTTAGTTTTGAGTGTTTAGGGAGTTTTAGGTGTCAAAATATTTTTTAGGGCTTAGAATTCTAAGATATAGGCTTTATAAATCTATAATTAGTGGCATGTTTATAAATGGACACCCCTAATTGGCATTCTTGCAAATGTACACACAAAAAGTGGCATTTTTGTAGTTATCCCATATACAAATGTATATATATATTTAACAAATCGAATCCTCTTATAAGTTATAATAAGTTTGTATATAATATTCTTACCAAGAGAAAGATAAAACAACATTGATAAACGGGATGAAAAAAAAAATGATGACATACTTAATAATTTTTAAAAAAGTATTGAAGTTAGGATTACATTCCGCCGGCTCAACTTTCAATTCATGGATTTTTTCCAGTTTAATCTAAATTTATAAAAATACCATTTTTAAAGTTAGTCCTAACCTAATTAACCTGCATAAAATTAGAAGTGGGTACGCGGAAACGAAAGCGTTTGGAAGCGTAGAAACGAGTTTTTTACAAAATTTAGGAAGCGCGTACGTATTGAAAACG